ACACTGGGACACACTGGGAGACTGTGGGACACACTGGGACAGGAAACCAGAGAGCTCGTCGTCCCAGTGACAGAAACACATCGATCCAGTCAGGAAACTTTGATCGTGCTGCAGCTGAGTGAAACTGACTGAAACTGTGGCAGAGATACAGACTGAGCTCATGTTTTATCAGTTCCTCCAGAGGACGGAGGGACGACGCGTTTATTCGTTTATTAGTAACAGATAAGTTCTTCTGTTTGTAGTTTGTGTTTACAGTCTTTAAAATAAAATCAACTCAGAAACAAACTGACAGAACGTCACAGTGAGCTCGGTGTTTGAATTTAACTTTATTACTTTATTCTCCTGACGTCTGTAAAACAGGCAGGTTGCTTTAGTTTGGAATTGAATCAGTGAATATTATTATTATTTTGTGTTATTGCATTCCTTCCCAACATCAAGACACATGACGGATGTAACGTGATTAAAAACAGACGAGCTCGTAGTCCTGAAGTATCTGAACTTTCTACTTGTGTGTTTTTGCCGCCTCTGAAAACTTGAGAAATGAACAAAAGAAATGATCCTTTTTTATGTGTAAATAAACCAGACTCCCATTATTGTTCCGAGCAGAGTATTCATACACGTCTGAACGTTAGTCAGCCGGTTTCTTCTTCACCAGAGACCTGACTCTGGTTCCCTCTGTCCCCTCAGCTGGTCGGGCTGCTGCTGATCGGAGTGGCAGCATGGGGGAAGGGCTTCGGCTTGGTGTCGAGCATCCACATCATCGGAGGGGTCATCGCTGTGGGCGTCTTCCTGCTGCTCATCGCCATCGTAGGACTCGTCGGAGCGATGCACCACCACCAAGTCATGCTCTTCTTCGTATCCTTTCCCCGCGGTGACGCACCGGTGCACAGATGATTCAGCCGGCTGCAGTGAAGTGTGATTCGATGGCTGCACTGATTTAGATGATGTTTGTTTCAGTTGTTGTTTCTTTAACCTCTTGCTGCCAGTACATGGTCATTCTTTTTATTGTCTTCCTGTTTCAATTCGGAGTCTCGTGTTCCTGCCTGGCGATGAACCGCGGGCAGCAGGTGAGCAGTTTGTGTCCATGTTCATTTCAACACTTAGCACAACATTTATATCCCAATGAATAAACTTTATTTCTTTATTTGCGTCTCAGGTGACTCTTCTGAACTCTGCTTGGGGAATGTTGGAAGACAACACTAAGACAGATCTGGAGAACCAGCTGAACTGCTGTGGGCTGCTCAACGTCACCAACAGTCGGTTTGACCAGGACGTGCAAAACTGCACCGCTGTAAGTCTGAAGTCCGGTTCGAAACAAAGACTAGCAGCGAGACCAGTTGAAACTCGCAACTACAACACAATGCACTGGGACTGACAGTATATATAAGGGGCAGAGCTTCAGGTCTGAGACACAGAACTGTGTTAAAGCTCCTTTCTATCTAAAGGCCAGCAGCAATATGAGACAGATACATTCAGTCTTATGGAGAAGTTCATTTCTGAGCTCAGTAAACAGTT